TATTAATTACGTCCAATTGTGACTTTGTCATATAAAACTGACATAATATCACTTTTTCATAGAAAAGTGACAGAATTCACATTCTCCTTTTGTGAACTGTGATCAATTTTAATTGATATGTGACAAATGTTGAATGATATTTGAAATGTAAACTTTGATGTGTAACGTATGCATAGTGAACTGTGGCTTATGAAAAAAATGTGAGTCGACACAACCTTGCCAACCCCAGCACCGACACCACAATCTGCAAACTACTAACAATCACCTCTACGACAACCACGGCATCACCACCAAATGGCCTAAATTTTACTGCCACCGCCACCACAACCACAACATCACCTCCAGCAACCCCAACAACCACGGCTTCACCTCCATCAACACCAAAAACAACTACCAACACCACGTCTCGAGACAAGGCGTTGTTGTCGCGAATGGCAACACTGGCAGCAGCAACTCAGATCTGATCATCCCGACGATTAAGCCGCACGGGGTCGCGTTCACCAACTAACCATCTCGTCTCACCTAGTCGATGGTTTTCATGGAACAACATCTTCAAAAATAGAATCACGAATGAGCTGCTCAAATATGTTTTTTTCTTACCGCGGGCAGCCACCCCCACGAACAGCGAATCGCAGTGGCGTTGCTGCGAGATGATGGAATGGGGAAAGGGCGATTTGGGGTGTCGACACCGAAATCTGTTGGTGGGCATTTGAGAGAGAGAGAGAATTTGATAGAAACAGATCTCGAAGGTGGGTGTAATATAATATAATTTAGTTTTTAATAAATAATTTAATTATCACCTGATTTATGCTTAAATAAAGTTTACATCTGATTTTTGATTTGTCATCTTTAAATACCTGGTGTGGTGTAATTTCCACTAGAAGTATTCTACTAAGGCCCGTAATTTTTAGAATGAAGCCTTATAAGATTGAAAACATGCAACTATACGTTGAGAAACTTACACTAATAGCACTACATTAAACTATTGAACCGATTGTCATACTCGTTTTTAGATGTTTGAGTATTAGTATTTTGTTGGTATTTTTTTCTAAGTAATGCTATATGCACTCATCGAGGATCATCCTCAATGTGATGTGATATTAAATGATAAAGACCAATTAAATAATGTTATTTTACGAATTGTTAAATTATAAATTTATAGTTTTTATGCTAATAATATTCTCAAATGCAAGTCTAGAATAAATCCAAAAATGATACAAACTATTTAATAATCTTGGAAACTGATCAAAAAATATATATATTGGTATCGAATAATGTGGAGTGGTGGTTAGCCGTCAAGTTGTTTGTGGAAGACTTTGCAAATGTTTTTGCAAAATTACTATTGAAAAATATTATATATAATGATCTATTAGGCACTATTGCTTAGCTTATGTCGAAGAATGATGATATCATAAATTTATCTCCTAATTCAATTATAGTGAAATTTCATTGTTACTTAGCATAAATTAACGGTGTTTGCTAAATTATTTCTCTTTGTATATATTCTATTAGTGATGTAGGCAGAAACACAAAAGAGAGAAATAAATTACGAAATTACAAACATAAATTCACATCCAAATTATTTATCTACATTGTAGAGTAATAAAGAATGATCGATTAAATATCTCTTTTATATCTTTATATATTTAGTTATGAAAAAACATGTCATAACTCAAAGCACAATAAATTTCAAGTTGGACAAATCTCTCATATTTGAGTATCAATCTTTTCTCTATTATACCTCGGACAAAGAGCTTCGCAAGGTAATTTCGCAAAAACAAGGACCCAAAAAGATCACAAAATGTAGATCATCATCATCAACACAACACGAAGACCCAGCACTTTTACATAATCACACTGTGAGAATATAAGTAAAACAATCAGGCAACAAAACAAAATCCTAAGACTAACATGAATATTAGACTCGAACTTGGGAGACTAATGTCACACCCTGGATCCTGCGAAGCCTCCACATAAACACTGGTGTGCCAATCCTGCATATTCTTCTTTCGATATTACTGTCATCGTTCTAGTCATTGCGCAACCTCACCTACCGCCAAAGGTATCGCCAACCAAGCGAACGCCTAGGCTAAATGATAATTGCGAGCAATCATGTAGCTAAACAAGCGAAAATGATCGTGATGTTCGAATTTGGAGACGCTTTAGGTTGGAAATATTGGATAAGAATCATATCTTGTCAGTCCCTTGAAATCAGCAAGTGAATTCCTGGAGATCAAGGAAGATCTAATGGAATCAATTTTTACAAGAAAACCTAATTGTACAAGGAAATAAACTAAAGAAGAAAACTTCCCATAGCTCAACAAGGAGTTACGTGAACCAATAAAAATATGATACATGGAGTTAGAGTTGTACCTTCCAATCCTTGTTTCCCAAGGAATTCTCTCGTATAAATACAGACACATAAGGTAAAGGTATGCAATTCTTTAAATTCTAGTCAAATATGGTTTCTCCTACACCCATTCTATAATATTTTATATCCCCAGTTGACTTAACGTCGGAGTACAAATAGTCATGACCCTTTTTTTGACTCGTTGATATTGGTGCTAACAGTTCCTCTCTTAGTGTACATATTATAAACAACGATGAAAATATCGGATAATTTTCAAATCCTCAAAGAAAAGTTATCGATGAAATGAATGCTCAAAACGCATCAAAATACGAAAACGAGCCTAGATGGGATGAATAGGCGCTAGAGCGCCAACTGGTGCCAGCTTCAATGTTTTGGGCGCTCGAGCTCCAGTCGAGTGTCGATAAACATATTTGAGACGAAAAGTCCTCCCCGATTCATAATTTGATCTCTTTAAATCCAACACATACTTCAACTCTTAGTTGGGCTTTCAATAGAACTTTAATTAGAATTTGTCAAATAGACTTCGAATAGGATTCCAAAAACATTCCAACAAATAGAATTCCCCTTAGTGCCAACATTAATTAGAATTCTCATTCATCTTTAAAAAAGAATTCGAGTCATACCCTAATTCTAACAAACTCCACCTTAATATTAATTCCACTGTAAATTTCAAAGATTTTCGATCAGTGACAAAACTCTATTTCAAGGAATGAACTTCTCCATCAAAACAGAAACGAACTTCTCCATCAAAATTTTCAACATGAAAATATTCTCTACCTCTACCACAAAAATAGAATGGGTGCAAAGTAAAAAACCTAAGTAATCAAAATTCCAAGAGCACCCTTGGACACCAAAGTTGCTCGAATCACGAGCAATATAATCAAACGTGATTAATAATCACCAAACAATGCTGAAACAAGCCATGTAATAAAATCACCATGAAATGCTTCAACTGAAAGATTTTTGTTAGAATCGTCACCTCCAACTACAAATGAAATAGAATTAACTAAATCAGCATCTTTGTACCTATGTGAAGGCATATTCTCAAAAAGGAGCCTATTTCTAAAAATTGAATACAATGCGCCGCTGGTAATGGTGACAAAGCAGAACTATTCATAACTTTCGAACTTGACTTAAATGTATTCATCAAAGTAGACCCAAATAAAACTTCAATGGTATTGAACCAAACTCACGATTCACGTGAGCTCTAAATCTATGATAATTGACCTTCAAAGATTCTGTAGAACATTACAATACATATAATTGAGACTTTTTCTGTATCTGCAACACAATATGGTCACCTTTTCAAGTTTTAGGACTCCACATTCACTACTAAATTTGTACAATTCCAAGTCAAGAGTGCTTAAAAAGATAATATTTACTTCAAATCAAGAACATGCCACACTGCATCAACTGTTCTGACACTTCCATCAATCAACTTAATTCTGACCCTTTCTATACCAGTTATCTAACAAGGTTTATTATTACCGATTATTACAACACCTTTGTAAACTTCTTCATATGTTGTGAACGAATCTTATTGGGGCACGTATGAAACGCGCAAGTCGCATCAAGAATCCAATCATCTTCACATTTGGAATCGCCATCGAAAATCACCAAAAGATCTCCATCATTGTGTAACATTTCTTCAACACTGGTGTCACCCGAAGTATCTAATTGTTTTTTCTCCTGATTAGGTGCAGCCAATTTTTCTTTATTCTACAACTTATAGCTATCTTTAACCAAGTTCTCATTATTCTTACAAATTTTATTTGTGAAGGTAGACATTAATTTACCTATTCTAGAACCACCATCAACAATAAGGTCATCTCCATAAACCACAGTTTGAACAAGATGCTTCATCTTTTTCTTTGAATGTAGAGTATCATTAACATGTTCAATGGTGAAAGTATCACGACTATATAGGATCATGTCTCTAAACGACTTGTATGAAGCAGGCAACGAATACATCAAAATCAAGCTCAGATCTTCTCCATCATATTTAACCTCTAAAGTTTCAAGATCAGCGACGATTTCCTTAAACACGGCTAGGTGATCTTTGAAATATGTATCTTCTGTCATACGATGAGAATAAAGACTCTGCTTTAAGTGCAAGCTACTAGTAAGATTTTTAATCATGCACAATTGCTCAAATCTTAACCATAAAGTAGCGGCGGACTTCTCCTTCAAAACGTCCTAAAGAATGTTATTCGAAAGATGAAGATGAATTTTTTAGAGGGGCCTTCCGATACCTAAGTTGTTTTTCCTCCTGATTTCAAGTTGTGGACATCTTATCAAATTTCAATAACGCATGATCCAAATTCATCTTAGCAAGTATTGATCGCATCTTAACCTGCTACAACGAAAACCTTGTACTACGATTCAAAAGCGAAATATCATACTTCATGTTGTCATCCCAAATTCAAAAAATCTCCCTGTGAATTAAGTCTTAGCTCTTATACCAATTTGTTATAAACAACTACAAAATAACCAGTTAACTCTGATACCAATTCGTTGTGAAAACATGTGAGAAAATAATAACACAATATGAAGTAATTGTTCACAAATTCAAGAACAAAACAATTGGCACAAGAATGGAATTTCCACTAAAATATAGAGAAAGAATTACAATGATTTTTTGTTTTTTATTTATCTAACTTAATATATAATACAATGAAGAGCTAAATATATAGGAGATGTTTCAAACATTAAAACTAGAGTTATAGATGGAAAGAAATGATCCAAAAGCGTCAAAACGCGAAAACGGGCATGGGCTGGATGAACACCCAATTCTCGAGTGTCCGACTAGTGCCAAGGGGAACCGCTTCACTGTTTTGGGCCCTTGAACTCCAGTCGAGCGCCATGCGAGCATAATTGCAGTGAAAGTCATCCTGGTCCATATTTTGATCTCTTTAAATTCAACACAAATTCCAACTTCCAATTGGACTTCCAAATAGAATTTCAACTAGAATTTGTCAAATATACTTCAAATAGGATTCCAAAAATTTCCAACAAAATAGTACTCCCCTTAACATCGACCTTAATTAGAATTCTCAATCATCTTCAAAATAGAATTTTGGTCACCATAATTCTATCAGTGTAGGTAATACAGAGGTTAATAGAGACGTGGTTGGAGATCTATTGACAATAGAGCCCTAGTGGGTTTCACGGTCAACATTCTCGACTAGCTTCAATTTAATATTTATTTCGATATTAATTTATTTTTGACTAACACATGAAATGAAAGGAAAATAATTCATTTCTCGGCACAAAGATTAGATTTGGACAAAATTTACCTAACTCATTATACCAATCTAGAAAATTATGTCTTGTATTTTATTTATTTTTACAAGCAATGATGATTAAAAGCATACTAGTCAAATCTTTAATGTAAAGAAATTGTGTCGCCCGTGATAACTTTCAACGGAGTTTGCTGAAAGTAACTTTAGCTTTTGTGTCGGTTACAAAAGCAGGTTAACTTTTGTTCTTCATTTTCTTTAATTTAAAAGTTTAAGCTCTTGTTTGGTGTGAATTAAAATCAGATTTTTAATAGATTTTGATGAAAGCTATGAAATGTGCGATTAAAAAATTATAAATCCCACAAAATACGTGATTAAAATTAATTATTAACTTTGATTTAGATTAAAATTACTATCAAATCATGCTTCCTTCGTTGATACAAGCATCTCCTCATACTACTATAGAACTGAACGGAGGCTAAATAGTGCGAGATAAGTAGAATATAAGAGAAATTATAATTAAATTACTAAGTGTCTGTCTGATTTTGCTATTTTCATGGATTAAAAGCAAGCATATGGCCGTTGGAGGAGACAGCTAGGACCCAACCCTGAGAGAGTAGGTCAACAATGGTGGGCTACAACGGGCAAATAATTGGTTTTTCTCCTTCCAGAAGCGCGCCCAAACAGAGCCACTTTTAGAACAAAGAAATTCTAAAGAAACCTCCAAAAGAACTAGTTGATAACCTTAACATAATTATCATAGTAATTCAACATGATAACATTTTATTTATTTCATTAATATTTGAATTATTACATGGCTAAACAAGCAGTACTGTCTCACATATAGCAAACACTGAACTGAAACACACTCAAGATATATATGATCACATTGCAATGACAGCTATCTTCATTCCAGATTGACAGTGGCCCGCGATACTGCAAATGAAGAAATTCTGTCCCTTAACGAGTTTGATCTGATCTTTTCCGGTCTGGTACACCTTGGCGCCACCAGGGGCGGTGCAACCTTGATAGCCACCCTTGTTCACTGCCACGACGTTGTGAATCGCCGAGTTATAGTTGAACACTGCACTCAATATCAAGCAGATCATATAAAGTATTATCCAATTCAACGTACCAATTACATATTGTATAATGTTAGATCGGAGTGCATTGGACGAGATTATGACCCTATTTGGTTTAGGTAAAATCATATTTTTACTAGATTTTGATAAAAGTGATGAAATTTAAGGTTAAAAAGTTGATATAAGTCGTGAATCCCATTAAATATGTTATTGAAAATAAGTTTAAGAAATAACGAGTTAAAGATGGGCTATATATGAATTTGAATATAATTTCCTCAAATGGATATGATAGTTGTTTGTGTGCATTTACTTTCTTTATATTCTTTTCTAATAGTGAAAATAGAGCAATTTATCGAACATGTAATAAACATTTTAGGATAAGATAATGGTCGATGTGTTGGTTGAAGGATTTGCTTACCGAGTGTATCACCGGCTTTAAACTTCTTGCCTTTGGGCCAACCGGAAACGTTAAAGGTCCAACCGCCACTGCCTCCAACGGCGTAGCTGGCGGCTTCAGCCACCTCAAAATGGAAAAGGACCACCAGACACAACATCATTGTTGTGGCAATAACTGCACTGCCTCTTCCCTGAGACATTTTGTATAACTAAGAGAGAATTTTGTTGTGTGATGAGATGCATCTTGTAGTTGTAAAATTGATCAATTTAAAGATGGAGTGGTGGGTGGTGTAAGGACCCACAAAAAATGGTCAGGACCCACATGCTTGGACGATGAGGTCTATGGAAATTGAGAAAAGAGTAAGGGGTGGGGTGGGGTGGGGTGGGGTTTAGGCATTGGAAATTGGGTTTCGCCGATAACTTATTAGATGAGTTACTCTTTTTCGTACATTATTGTTGATATTATAAGATAACTTATTAGATGAGTTACTCTTTTTCGTACATTATTGTTGATATTATAAGTATTGTCAACGATTGATTGGGCGAAAAGTTTGTCCAAATTTTAAACTGTCCAATAATGTATTGCCACGTGACAAAGTGTAAAATATGATGTAAAAAATGATGTTCAGGTAGAATAATTCGTAAAATAATGAATAAAATGTGGATATAGTTATGGTTCTTACACTATTGTCATCACAAAAATGTATTGGAAGTCTTGAGGCATTTAAAATGGTCATTAAAGTTTTTGAACTACCTACCCTTTATGTAGGATACAAATTATTGGACTTCTGGGGTTATGTTATTGAATGCGAGGGCAAGACTGTGTCAGTGGATGTGTGCCGATTCTTCGAAGAACAGTTCACAGAAATTGACAGCACCTGTATGGTGCAATTTTCTGCCATTGTTGTTTCAAAAATTAATGAAAAATTGTCAAGTGTTATTCTGTACAAATTCTGTCAAACATTTTTTGTACCTATAGCATAACTGTTCTTCGAAAGTACTGAACAATAAATGCGACCAGACAGAATGAACAGGTATCAATTTAAAATTATTATTAGTCACCCAAGTAATTATAGTACTGTTTTATTTTAGTTATTCATATTTTTTCCATAACTGTTATTCATAACCAGGGACGGATCACGGATGGAGGGGGGCTGGACCAGGCCAGGCTGTAGCCCGATCCAGTCCCCACCCGCTTTTTTTTTTAGTTAAAAAAAAATTATGAAAAAAAAAAAGAATCATGTGTAATTTTTTTTTTTTTTTTTACGTAGTAGTCTGGTCTGTAATTCGATCCTGGATCCATCCTTGTTCATAACTGTTTTATTTTAGTTATTCACCCAAGTAAACATGACTCTTTCAGTGGAGGGGTCGCACACAGACACGCCGACTTGGTGGAACCGTCTGATATGCTTGTGGATGCTTATGTGGCTTTGACTCTTCGTCTAGTCTCATTTGATGGTTACTCTTTGGTTTCTCTATGGTCTTCTGTCTTCAACTGCTCGAAAACCGTATTCAAGATTTTTAATCTTCTACTCTTCCTCTATTTTGTTCCTTACTTGGTTTGAGATGTACAAGAACCTTGTCTTCTTCGTTCGATTGATTCTGAAAAAGAGTGTTGATTACCGTTATCAATGTTCTTGACGAACAGTAACTTTTAATGACTTTTTTGGATACTTGAAGAAAGTCTCTTGTGACTTTATCTTTGTAATTTTAACATTTTTGTATTTTGGGTTGGCTTTTGAGTGCAATAGAGCATTATCCACTTTTGTGCATGCTCAACATGAAATTAGATGTTGGAAGTGACCACCGAAATTTTGAGATTCTGGTCAAAAAAATTGTATTCATACTTTGCTATCTAAACATTTAAATTCTTCGATATGTTGATTTTATGAGTTTAATCATAGTGGCGATTGTTTCTAGGCATTTCGAAAACAAAGAAATAAAAATAAAGAAGGATAACTTTTTCAATATCAAAAAATATCTTTTAGTCGGAAGATAAAAGTAAAGCATGAACGATTTTTTCTTGTCACGCTACAATCTCATTAATTTAATTCAAAAACCAAAGAAAAATGGAAGGCTTATAGTGAAACAAAAATAATAAGTTCACTTACTAACATTGGAAAACAAAATTGGTATAAGCTAAGTGATTAGCATCTTTTTTAACTTAC